CCCCCCCCTCCCTACCTTCTCCCCCTGCTCTCTTCCGTTGGCTCTCTTGTTGTGCCTCCTCCTTGCTGCTCGCTGCTCCAGCTGCCATGCAGCTGCTGGCATCCGCTGCAGCCACGTCGGACGGTCAATCACGACTACTACTGACCGCGCAGTCAGTCCCGAGCCCGTTCACGGCCCCAGCCTTGAGTTTGTGCGCATGGGATCGCATCCAGACCCAGACCACCCGTCCCACCTTCGCTCAGCGTTGTTGAGTGCTCCGTCTGCGGTAGGTGGCCACGAAGCCACAGCCTGTCTGTCGGAATGACGGGAATCTTTCGGCGAAGTTTCCCGGTACCTCATGCGCGGAGAGGCGGGAGGGCTCATCCAACCCCGTCAGATGCCGCGAATCCTTTGGCCAAGGGACTTCACTCCTCGGGGGACATATTCAACTCTCCATCACGTGTGTGCGTCGACCAATCACCGACGAGTAAGGGCCTCGCTCCACTACACAACACTCTACATGCATGTGGAAGCTTTCTCGACCAGGTGCGTTCGTACGAGTCCAACATTTTGAATGTCTCAGGTCCATATAGCGTCCAGATGCATGCAGAGCGTTGCGTAACGGAGCGAGGCCGTAACCCCTTAAACCACCAGTACAGTCTGTAAGCTAAGAAATAACTTGACGAACCAACAATTGCATTCTGCCGAGCCTGGAAGTAGTGACGGGTACCCGCCGAGCCTGTTTTGCCAAAACGGATTTTACACCGACCTTGCCTTCCAAGCCTGAATGAATGGTCACAGGGCAGGGGCATCAACATATGCAGTCTGTTTGCTCCAAAGAAAAAGCCCTGCCTTTTCCTTTCTCTTGGGGGCGGATCTGCAGTTGCCCCTGAAAGAGGTCGAAATCCATATTTGCCCCTAACAGACAGACGTGTTCATCCTGGGATGCCCTTCCGGCTTGCGAACTTCGTGACAGGAGGCTGCCAAAACGGCTGTGCAACTTCCTCCCAGGCCCACAAAGTTGCGCCTCCAAGTCGCCCCATTATCAGGTGGGCAACTTCGTGGCATGTCCACTGCTATTTGGGTGGCAACTTTGCCCCCCACATTCATCATTCCAATTTGAAAATTCACTCTGCTCCTACCACCAGTTCCTTTCCCATGTATCGGCCGCGGGCCCCTCACCGCAACTTTTGGAGGGCCGAAACGCGACATCAGTTGCTAATAAAATTTATCGACAGTGGCCCAGCCCCAAAAGTTGTTGTCATTAACCAGCCACACCCCTGGAAAATAGCAGGAAATGTACTGGTGGTACGTTTCCTGTATATCAGCCGTGGGCCCCTCACCAGAACTTTCGGAGGCCCAAAACGCGACATCCGCTGCCAACGAATTTATCAACGACAGCCCAGCCTCGAAAGTTGCGGCCGTTAACGAGCCGCACCTCTGAAAAATAGCAGGGAAACGCACTGGTGGTTATGCACCTATGGTCTCTCCTACGGTACGAACTTTACAGCAGCTGCCACTTGTCAACTTTGCCCCTGAAAAAAAATATGCGCCTCTTGTTTGTTCTATGGTATATCACCTCAGCGCCCCCCCACTCCTTTACCCCCTTCGTTCCTCCTCCTCCTCCTCCTCCTCCTCCTCCACCTTCATCTCCTTCTTGGCCTCCACCTGCCTTTTGATATCACTCATAAACTTTATCGACCCCCTACTTCTCACCCCCCATTTTCTCGCTTTTTCTCGCTTTCTTTCTCCTTTGTTCGGACTCTTTGTCCCACTCATTTGCTTTATTCATCCCACATGTCAGATCGTTGTGCAACACCGCGGTTCGACTATGCACGACATTCGAGCCGTCTCTTTTCACCTCGTTTTCTTCTTCTCTACCCCTCCCCTGCATGCATGTAATATTCCCCCTCTACAAAGCTACAAATCTCGCAGGCACTATCCTCTTGATCTCCACTTTTCGAGTAAGTAGGCAAATGGGGTTGATTGCATATGCCTTGGTCAAGAGGCGAGTTGGAAAGCCCCGACAAGTTGATTACGGAGTTGCCATGTTATTATGACCGACTACAGGGTGTGTGCGAATAAGGGTCATGATCGGATCCACGAAGTGGTGATCGCTGAAAGGTTTAACAAGTGTCTTACGACGGACTGTTGTCACTTGTCTGAACTATGGTTAGGGTAGCAAGTCATTGCGATTTCGTGGAAGAGTGCGGGGTAATGTGCTTTCCCCTTAATCCATGTTTTAATATTGATGGAGATAATACTTTTCTTCGACACATTTTTTTTTCTTATGAGTATAATGTGTGGGATTGAGTGATACTTGAGCAACACTTGTGTGAACCATGTTCAGATCAGTGGATCGTTGCCAATTTACTAAGCAATAGAGAGCAGGGTAATGTGTTTTTCACCTCATGGAGGTGAAACTTTAATTGGCGTAAATTGTTTATCGACTTTTCATTAATACAATGTGTGGAACTGAGTGATGTGTTGTGTATAAATAATATGGGAATCAGTTTGATTGTTGTGTATTATTATTATTATTATTTTAATCTCACATTTGCCTCCTCTATGATTGATTGCACTAAGCATATCCTCGTATGTCGATGGAATGGTATGTACTTGTTGTATGCATGAGTTAGGCTATGAACATTTTTCCTCACAATAGGTGTAAAGGAATACATGATTATAAATATTTGTTCATTCACAATAGTTTTGTCTTGTTGGTTTTTACGCAATTTATCTCATGCATGCAAATCCCTACCCACAAATTCATTTTTTTTTTCATACAATGGTTAACGGACGCGTATATACACATGAGAAGTGGGTAAAGCGATGACAATAGTTCCCAAGCCTTATATGTTTCCTAAGGAACTTGAATATTTAAGGTTTACAAAATTAAGTTTTTAATTATTGAGGCTTGTTTACCTCTTACTTCGTCTTTTTGCCATATCACAAACTTATGGTCATCATGTGACCTACCATAATGCATTATAGTTGAACACACTTTGAGTGTAGACACAAGGAACTCTACCGCTAATGTGGTTTAAGTTATCACTAGCTCTGCCACTCTTTCAAAAAATATTTTTTTTTAACTTTTCAAGGGTTCAACGAGGCTCGGCGGTTAGGCCTTGTGGGTCCGTTCCAAGAAAAAATTGAGAAAGGTCGTGCATAAAGTTCTGTTCACGCCAAAACTCACAAGAAAGCATTTAACTACTATTGTGGTCAGTTTCATGTTTCTTTGCTTTTTTTTTTTTTTTTTTTACCTTCCCAGGGAGGAATAGTGCAGTCAACGGGCTATTAATACTTTGTGGAGGAGGGCATGCCCACATTACTGTCACTACTACTTTGCAAAATGTATGGACCCGCTTTCCTGCCCCAAGTTCAACTTCAATTATTTTTTATTTTTTTATTAACCTGACACCTCTGTCGTAACGCCCTCACTAAGGGCATACTCACACAACTACTTCAGGGTAGGTATATACCTGGTATCACTTTCAAAGGGGTGTTTTTTTTTGTGGATGTGTCATACTTGTTCGTTTTTTTAAGTTTAGTCGTTTTTTTTTTTTTTAAGAGTACTAGAAAAAAAAAAAAAAAAAAAAACGGAACCAAGGCTCGGCAAAGCTCAACGCGTAATGAAAATCAGAGTTGACAAAAACAGGCTCAGAAGTACTAGTGGTTCAACTTTTGCATCTCGCATAGGGAAGGAAAGTTGTAAACATCAGGCTTGACTTCGGACCTCCACTTTCAATTTCAAACTTTGCATCATGTTTGAATGCGAGTATGGAAATCGATGTGATTGTTGTATGTAATTATTTTTTTGACTTGAAAATCGTTTTTGCATCTTTTATGATTGATGTTTTGAGCGAGTCGTAGTGTGCACATGGTAGATGTTTGTTACATTCATGAATTAAGGATGAATGTTTTTCCTTGCAACATGTGCAGATGAATATAAAATTACTTGTGCACACAAATCCTTAACTCACACGTTCTCACTTTTTCGTACAATAATAGCGGATATGTGTACAAGATTGAGACATGATAAAAGTCATGACACAAACTTACAAGCCTGTTCTCTTTCTCTGATAACTTAAGTGATCAAGGTCCACAAGATTCAGTTCTTTAATTGTTGTGACTTCCTTTCCCCCTTACTCTATCATTTTGCCATATTACGCGTTGATGGTTGTCTTGTGGCCAATTGTAGTGCTTTCTTAACTTGACACACTTTATTTCGAGTGTAGATATAAGGATTACTACTGCAAGTGTGGTTGTATTTATGAATCTCGATGGAGGAGGGAAACTCTGAGCATAAACCTCGATTTCAACCTTCTATTTCATATTTTCAACTCTGTTGGACCCATACACGCACCATCGTTGAACTTTGTGACCCCTCGTGTACACCCCCAACATTCATTCGTGGCAAGTTATGGTGTGGGAGATAAGATAATCATTTATATATATATATATATACAGAGTTGACAGGCCGAACGTACGGAGGCCCCTAAGCTGACCCCCGAACATTCGGGCGTTCGGGTCCCTGTACGGGGATCGAACTCGAAGGGGTTCGGACCCCGCAAAAAATTATTTTCATACCTAAACATTATTATTTTTTTCTGATTGTTTTTTTGTGAGTTATTTGTTATGTAAGCTACCTGTCTCTCAATTTTGAAGTCATTCTGTGCACCCAAACAATAATGAAAAATCGGCAAAGATGGTGGTGTCAAAAATTGCTTTCCCACTTACTAATTTGTTTTTTTTCCATTTTCACATTTTGTTTTCCCTTTATTTCGGGGCCTGAAAAGAATTATTATTTTTTTAAACTTTATTGG